TTGGGCGCCCCCCCCCCCCCCCTCATCAGATCCTTCCTTATCCTTTTCAATTGAGCAAAAAATGTACACCCTGAATCGTACAGTGCTGTATATATTTGAGGTAAGATGTGGCCCACTTGAGCGTGGCCGGGATGCGAGACTGAACGGATGTGCTTAGCTGCAGCTCCTCTTATCCGTTCAGCCGTCCTGATCTCCAGCGGTGCCATCGGTGGTTCCTTACTCACGTTCTCCTGGCAGTGACTCCGTTGACAGTGGACGTCCTCCCCATGCGAACAAAACGGAGATCGGCACGGTCCAGAGTGAGCGGTGAGCCTCCGGGCACTTCTCCTGTCACACGTGCCGGCGCCATCTCGGCTGCACGCTCTCTCCCTCATCAGCGCCAGCACTCAGACGGCCGGGTGGGACGACATGGAGCAGGCAAGTCATAGCAGCCCCTCTCTTCCTACGTGCACAGAGCCTCCGGGTGCAACAGATGCCATCCTGGCCGCCATAGAGGCCAGTAAGACCACCCTAATTGCCAGGATCGACACTCTGTCTACTGAGTGCGGCCTAATCTGGCAGGATTTGGATAAAATCCGGGGCCGGGTAACGGAAGTGGAGACCCGAGTGGGGACCCTGAAAGACATTACGGGAGAACATTCCCAAACCATTCGCAGCCTGCAGCAGGCGGTGGTGCAGCTGACTGCAAGGTCAGAGGATGCAGAAAATCGTCTGAGGCTCAATAACGTGAGGGTCTTGGGCCTTCCTGAGCGGGGTTAAGGCTCAGATCCTACATTATTTGCGGAGGCCTTTTTTAAGGAGCTCCTGGATTTACAATCTGTCTCTCTGGCCTATGTAGTGGAGCGTGCACATTGCGTTCCCCTAGGCCAAAGGCCCCCGGGCTCACATCCCAGACCCTTCTTGGTTCGTCTCCTTAACTTCAGGGATAGAGATCTGATTCTGACGACTGCTCGGAAGAGAGGGTCGGAACTCTGCTTTAAGAATGCCACCATCATGCTGTTCCCTGATTTCTCACCGGATTTACAGAGAAAACGACGCTACTTCATAGATGTCCGTCGCCGGCTTCGTGACAAGGGACTGAAATACGGTATGCTCGATCCTAGCACATTGAGAGTACAGTTTGCAGGATCGACGAAATTCTTTGAGGACCCAGCTGCGGCCGCAGACTGGCTTGATACAGCGTCATGACACCAGAGTCTGGAATATCCTTTTTTCTAATGGGCTGTTGTCATCTTCTGTTATGGCCCTACGCACCGCCGGGTACTGCGGAACCCTTTACCTTTACTGTTACTACCTGTAAGGCCACAAGGACTACCGGGACATATGGCCGAGGATGTACATACTCCTGTAGGGAGCTGCAGGAGTGGTACGGTAATGTATATCCTCAGTTAATCACTTTTTGAGACTGCCTTACCTCTGAGTATTAAGTGATACTCTAACTAGTTTTTCAAGTTTTGGGATCTCAAGCTGCTCCACTAGTTTGTTGTTATGTGGGCTGGCAGGGTGTGTAATGGGAAGTTACATGTTATACGCCATGGCCTTGATTGGGACTTTCCCTGGACGCTTTCAAATGTGCACAACATTCTCCAAGACTCTCAGTGGTACTTGATTTTCCCACACTTTGATGGCAGCTGATGTACAGATTGTCTCGTGGAATGTCAGGGGACTGAACTCAAGATTTAAAAGGGCCTTGGTCCTTCAATCTCATAACCCTCAAGTTGTTTTTTTGCAGGAAACCCACCTGTTGGGAAGTAAGGTTTTGGCATTGCAGAGGAGGTGGATAGGGAGAGCGTTTCATGCCACCTACTCCTCTTATGCAAGAGGGGTGACTATTTTACTGCACAAGAATTTTCCATGTGTGATTAACCATGTAATAACTGACCCTGAAGGTAGATATGTGGTAGTGCTGCTGGAACACCAGTCGCAGTCTTTTGCATTGGTAAATGTGTATATTCCACCCCCCTTCCAGGGAACAGTGCTGTATGCCATTTTAGAGAAATTGGCCCCATACTCCCCCTCCCGGATACTGGTGGCGGGGGACTTCAATAACATACTTGATTATTCCTTAGATGCGTCCAACCCCCACAGGACGGTTAATACCTCATTGAGGGACTCACCGAGATTTGGCGCTGGAAGCATCCGAATGCCAGAGCATATTCCTACATATCACATGTTTCTGGTTCTTCTTCTTCGCGAATGACGCACTACTGGCCTAGGTCCTAGACTCCACATATCTGCCCGGGGGACTTTCCGACCACTTGCCGCTTTCTGTCCATCTCTTGGGTAATAGAGGAAGACGGCCGCACTCGTGGCGGCTATCACAGGACTGGCTGTCTAATGATACGGTGGAAGCATTGCTGCGGCCTCACTTGTCTACCTTCTGGTCCATAAATCAAAATACGGCTGCGGAGATTGTTGTTTGGGATGCATTTAAGGCCACCACTAAAGGGGAATACATATCTGCGATTAAACATGCTAAGTTGGTTGCCCAGTTCGACCTCTTTCAGCTTCAAGCTAGGGAAGCCGACTCCGCTGCTGCTCATGCGATGGCTCCGTCCCCGGACACGCTTCAGGAATTGCTAGGGGTCCGCAGAGAGCTTTTACTCCACCATGAATCTGTAACCCAGGTGATCATTACTAGGCAGATGGGAATGGGAAACTTCTGGCGATGCTGGTAGCAGATCAGAGGTCTGGGCCTGATAGATGACATAGTGCCTTCAGTGGCGTTACACACTCTGCTGATCTACCTGTTATTCTATGCTAGAAAACTCCTGGTCCTCAACAGGAAGAAGGCGGAATCTCCTACCCTGGGCGCATGGTAGGCTTTGGTCAACGCCTCCCTCCCGTTACACAAAGCGGCGTACGCCTGCAGGGGGTGTCCTCAGAAATTTGAGAAGGTATGGTCAGGGTGGTTGGAATCTAATAATACACTAGGGGTGTGACCACCCACTTTAGGAATAGCTTACTGATAGGATGTTACCTGTAACGGTCCTACCTCTACTTCATACATTACACGGGAGTGAACCCCAGCAGGGGCAGGGATAGAGTACAGAGTTCACCCCGAAAATGTTTTCAGCACAGTTCCAGGCGCATGAGATGGGAAATTGGGGGAGACTGATTGGGGCTATTGTTTATGGTGTTTTATGTAGGAATGGGCATATGTTATGCCGCAATGTATTGATAAGTGTTGATGTCTAGGCACCATGTTGGTGTCATGTTGTATAACTAAACATGCAAAATGAATAAAAAGATTTTAAAAAAATAAAATAAAAAGATGTGGCCCACTGAAGACTATCAGGAAGCTTCCAGAATTCTGGTAAATGAGAAAATGCATCAGAGGTATCATAAGAGTTTTGAAGACTATAGTATCCAACCACTGCTGATACTAAAAGTGTATAAAGATATGCCATTGTTGTGGTAAAGACATATCCATACATGATATTACCCAGAGATTGAAAGGCTGCCATGATGAATGCTTCTGTTGCGGTTAAGCTGTAACCCACAAATACTACTTAAAATAAAACCGGAGGCTGGTTAGCAGCCAATACGCAAAATTTTGTTAGGTACACTAATAATTAGGTACACATCAGCAGTAAGCAGGAAATTCACACAAACTGGCTTTTTTTGTATGCACACATTATGATGGTAAGGCCATTAGACATTACTGTATGTACTACTATAATGCTCCCCAGAAATGTCTCATATCTTAACACAGCGTTTTTCAACCACTGTGCCGTGGCACACTAGTGTGCCGTGAGATATTGTCTGGTGTGCCGTCGATTAATCGTTAATTTCTTTGATCGATCAAAATTATTTTGATCGATCAAAGTTACTCACCTCTCCGCCGGCGATCCGGTGACGTCACCGGACTCCTCCTCCCTTCCCCGAGTGGCTGTCGGCTTAGAGGTAAAATTTTTTAACATTTTCTAATGGTGGTGTGCCTCGTGATTTTTTTCATGAAAAAAGTGTGCCTTTGCACAAAAAAGGTTGAAAAACACTGTCTTAACACACAAAAAAAAATAAAAAAAATTAGGAATCAATATTCATTTTGTTTCCTTTGTATCTAATCTTACCTCTGTGGCAAACAGAAGGACACTTGTGATTTCTGCATCCCAGGGTACGTCCACATTGCTGGTCACAGGGCGGGCAGTTTCCAGTGCAACACTATGTACAAAGAGTAAATATTTTGTTTTATCTAACTTATAACACATGAGCCTACAAAACAGTACGGTGTTAGCTTCTAAAAGGACAATGAATGCTCTATGAGCACAAAGACTCTTTAAAAACCAAAAGAGGGGATGAACACAAAACTTTAATTGTTACCAACAAAACTAATCAGGTTTCATCTTTTATTCTATTCTCTAAACAAGAATTCAGACTGGAAGCTGTTAGTGTTGCTTGAACACGTCGATGTTCGCTTCTTCACCCATACTGTACCAAAAAACTAAAATCAGCAAAAAATCCCAAGCCTGAACACCACTTCAGTCAATGCATGGAATTTGGGTGGGCTGTACACGCCGCACTTTCACTGCTAAATGATTCCCAGCTGTAGTAATACCATTAGAATACCGGAGGACATCATTGACTAAATATCATCAATGACGTCCCCTGGGGATTCCCAGCAGAACCGCAGCTCGGAATCTGTCATTAAGCAGCGCTACCGTGAAGTGATCGGCGGGCAACAGGTCATAATGACCTCTCTGGGCGACTTGATTGATGGATACATTGCTGGACCCATGTGACTAATGCTAAATTTACTTCTGGGGACATTTTTAAACTTTATTTTAAAAGCCAGTGTGTGTTTTTTTTGCCAAATGTGTTTTATTTTAATAAGGTGTTAGTGTTTATCTCGTACTTTTTGAGGGAATATGTAGGGGTACTGATGTACTGTACTCATTCCTCTAGGAGGGGGCAGATATCTGGTAAGCCCCTTATTATAAAAGGTGCTTCCAGATTCCACCAGAAACACCCGAGATTGTATTACAATTACCACCTCCTTTTTGGGGCACACAGAAGTGGGACAGAGTACCTCAACATTGGGTCAAGGATACTCTGCCATCTTCTCCTTGCAAGGTACCCCCCAATGTTGAAATCCATGTGGCCTGGTACAGACTAAACCAGATTAAAACCAAATATTCAGGACAAATTTAGCATGGTCTCAAACACGAAGCAACCCTAGTCACTATAAACAAAAGCTTCAATTTTGTGCTCATTTTGTTTAATTACTTTACATGAATCAGCCTGGGAGACTCAAGTAAAAACAAATAAGGTCTTAAAATTAGATATCTTGATGACTAAAAAAACCACATCACCTTCAGCCCGGGATATGAAACCCTCAAGCATCTTGTGCTTTTATCCACCTACTCCACCATATAATGCTGATTGACTGTTGTCTGCACTCCCAAGAAAAGACAAGGGGGGTTATTCACAAAAGGTTGAAGAGTTTGGAGAAGGCAGGAGAAGTGAACAATCTGGGCCAAAATAGCTGATTTGTAAAAATTCTCCCATTTAGCTCACTTTCCAGTTCAGCTATGTTGTCCTAGATTGTTCACTTCTCCTGCCTTCTCCACACTCTTCACCCTTTAGTGAATAACCCTGAAAGTGTTTCCACTGCATTATGGAAACAGCCGTGTACAGTCCTGCGGTTGGCTGTTCAGGCCCGAGCACTGCATTCTGGAAGGTCACATGCTTCCCCATACACAAAAGTATTGGGTATTTCCTATGGACACTGTCAGAGCAGCGGTGGATAGTGGTGAAGGTAAGTATAAGTAGGTTAGGTGGTGGTCTTAGGCCCCTTTCACACGGGCTGATCAGGAGAGGATCTGTGCACGGATTCTCTCCTGATCAGAGCAGGATGGATCGGATGTCACTGCTGTATCCAAACTGAAACTATGGGGAATCGGACATGTGTCTGTTTACATCCGATTACCCCCGATCCGACACGATCTGGTCACTGTTCCGTTTGTTTTTCCGGACCTGTCCAGAGTCGCCCGTTCGTTTACACATGGGTGCCCATAGACTTGCATTGGGCATCCAATCAGGTCCGCCTATAAAACTGACAAGCGGACCGGCCGTGTGAAAAGGGGCCTTCAAGAGACACTTTGCCCTAAATGGGTACAGAGGTTTTTTCACATTTTCTAAAACTATACTGGAAAACATTTTAGCTAACAAATAGAACTTTTTGACTTCCATAAAAGTGCATAAAACTACAACAGCTATATATTCTGCTAAGTAACATATTCAGTTTTACTGACTGTTATTCCGTTTATGTCACTTTCTTACCTTCATATGTCTAAATATAATTTCATTGGATGAAAACTGACATTCTTTTAGGAAAGGCTTATAAATTAGATAGGTTTTGGAAATTTTAATAAAAGCTAGAAGAGACAATAAGGGGTTATCAAATCTGAGGAATGTCTTATCTGCTCCAGAAATAGAAAATGAGAAGCTATAAACTTTAGGAGATTTTTCCCATCACTGAACAATTTACCCTTACCTATCCACAGCTTGGATACCACAACAGTGCTAATATAATAACATAGTAATTCTAGCACAGGCGTTGCGAAATGTTTAGCCATCAATGCAATTGTCACTGTAATTTGTTCACCCCCCTTAAGAGGAACACTAGCCAAACAGTTAAGCACACCACCAAAATGCATTTATGTAAACCATTGTATCTGCCCAACATTTCTAACTTCAGCCATGTTTGTAAATCACACATCACTGTCACACTATATAGCCAGGTGACACCTACATTTAGAGCCTGCATTTTCCTGTGCTACCTCTGTGATTCCACTTGTTCATCATCCCTCCAACAAGATTCTCCTTGTACTCTTACCCCATGTAATACTTTCTGTGACGGACTGAACCGTCACCGGGGTTGCTGGAGGAACCTGAGGGCTAGCCTCCTTCCTAGAGACTATGGACCAATCCCTATTTGCCCTGTTTCGAGTCCTCATTTGCATGGCCAAGAGGACCTAGGTGAGGACTGGAGGATACTTTACAGTTGACCAATAGGAAGGTGGTCGGTTGGGCCACCTTCAAACTGTTGTTTATAAAAGTGTGTGTGTGCATCCAATAAACGAGATTCCTGTTTGAACTTAGGCTGCGTTCACACCTGACCGTTTTGTAGGGCGTTCTACGCTCGACGAACGCTCTACAAAACGGTCAAAAATATAAATTGCATTGTAGTCAATGCCCTCGTTCCCACCTCGCCGTATTTCCGCCCATCCCTAACGCCCTACAAAACGGCCCACGCCTGAAAAGGTCTCGGGACTACTTTGGGCCGTTTTGTACGGCGTTTTCCATTTGGATACTGCCAAGTAGCCTTTGGAATCGCGCAACTTTTTTACCGTGGATCGCGGGGAAAAAACCGCGTGCCGGTCGCGCGACAGACGCGCATATTACAATACGCCTAGGTGTGAATGGGGCCTAACATACAGCCTGCCTGGTGTTTGTTCTGAGCTATCACCACTGGATACGAACTGCACAGAGCTGTAGTTCGAATCCCAAATTATCGGATGTCCGAAATATCAGACGATGCAGTCTGAAATCTAAGGAGTGCCGGGAGAGTGGAACCGAGCGAGCAAGGGGCTCGTTACACTTTCATTTCCATTTTTCAAGACCTGAAGCATAATAGCAGAGTAGGGGGATGATAGAAAGTGTCACTTCTGTGACATATGTATCTGCTACATTTTTACTTCTATGTTGCAATGGAGGAAAAAACTGAACTAACCAGACCCATGTTAGGTCTATGGGCAGTCAGATGTAAGCCGACATGTGTTCATTTTTATCCGATCCATCACGATCAGGTACGCCAAAACTCTGTTCCTTTTTTTTTTTCCCTGGATCTAGATGGGGTTAGGAATAAACGGATGTAAACAGACTCACGTCCATTTATATCCAGCTGCCCATAGAGTACCATTAGCCTTCCAATCAGATCCACGTGGAAAACTGACAGGCGAATTGGAATGGACTGTCCGTGTGCGAATTGGAATGGACTGTCCGTCCATAGCCTTGCACAATAAGAAGCAGTAAAACCACTGTGAAATGTAATGAGCAACATAGGACTGCTTCCATGTACATACTGTATACAATTACAAACTATACACAGAAACAAGGATCTTAATACATTAACACACTTTGATAAAAATGTATACATCAAGCTGAGATCTAGTATAACTAAATTCTTAAAGCCCAACTGCAGGATTTTTCTGATCCCTCCACCCACCACAGGGCCACTATTTTTTTATTTTATTTTGTATACGTATACTTTTTTTCCCCTCAAGTTTTCAGGTCAGTCTGGGGACATAACAGGTCCTTTTTTTTCTGGCCGCTGTGGTGGATAGTCCTTACTCCTAGACAGCACAGGGCTCCCGTAATAGTGTGCGAGTACTATTCTGTCGAGACATACAGTAAAGTTCAGGCTGACATGATGACACAACCCCAGAGGGTGTGATCATGGTGGCACAAGCTCACAGGAAAAGAGTTGGATGACTCTGGGCATCAATTAACCCAGAAGAAAACTGGAGCTGGATTGCAGAGTAAAAGGTCTAGGAGGGGCAATGCCAGACAGGAGGGAAGAACCACAGCAAAAGCTGCTTTTTATTGTTTACACTGCTGTGCTATTTATTTTTAAAACATTTTTGATAAGTGAAGTTGGACTTTAAAAGGATTATGTATTCCCTGTAAGATACACATGTGTATTTTTTTACGCTTCACCAACACCGTGTCTATGCAATAATCTGCAAAATACAAAAGTCTACAGAATCCAAAGAGTCAAGACAATGCCAAAGGAAATCCGGAGGTAAAAAAATTATTAAGCGGAAGGTATGCAGTCGATTTACATAAAAATAAAAAAACAGTAGCCAGATGTACATGAAAACATCTTGAAACTCACTACAGCGCTGCATGTGCCATTGGTTTATTAGAACAGATTTATTTGAAAATTATGTGCGACTTCTACTGGAAACGCTGTTCAAGGCTCTCAGTGAGAGGTAAATGGATACTGATGAGTACTTTTCAATGTGTAACATCAGATGAGAAAGAGAAACATGGGAAGCTCGGTTCTGTTATTAGAGCTGTTGGCTTCCATTAGGCTTGTGTAATAAGAGTCTCCGGTTTCAAGCTCATCAATCCCATGCATCTGTGGCCACATAATGATTATTGCAGCAGACAGTCTTCAGGTGTATAAAGTTCCCATTATGAAGACAATATGTGGTCAAGAAAAACCCATAATACAGTACTGCATCGTCTTTATTGAGCCAGAATAAAGGAGTAATAGGTAAAAAGCTTTATTCCTTTTTTTTTCAATGGGTGCAGCCATGCAAATCATTCCTTGATGCCCCAGTGAACAACTATGCACCCTAGTGCTGGTTCCACTTTATAGCACCAACACAGTCTAAAATGACACAGATACCTTGGGTCACCTTTATTAACATTGATGCAAGATAAGGAAATCACTCTATAGTGCTTGGACAGCAATATGACAAGACAACTTTGTCAGGTTATGTCCTCCACAGCTAGTAAGGACATGGACTAAATACAACACTAAAAACTACGGGGGGAATTTATCAAAACTGGAGCAGACAAAATTGGGAGCAGCTGTGCATGGCAACCAATCAGCTTTTCTCTTTCATTTTTAAAACTAACTGAACAAACTGAAGAGTGTTGGTGATTGGTTGCCATGGGCAACTGCTCTAGATTTTGTCTGCTCCAGTTTTGATAAATTCCCCCCGTGTACATTTATTATGTGCATTTAATAGAAAGGATATAATGTAAAGGAAGCAGGTAACCAAGTTATTTATTTAAACTCAGCTGTGCTTCATGAATGGCAAAGCAGAGTGAGGAGGCGGATTCACAACATCTATAATTGACACAAAGGGGGGATTTATCAAACTGGAGTAGACAAAATCTGGAGCAGTTGCCCAGGGCAACCAATCAGCTTCTCTCTTTACTTTGTTCAGTTAAGCTTTGAAAATGAAAGAGAGAAGCTGATTGGTTGCCATGCACAGATTCTGTCTGCTCCAGTTTTGATAAATTCCCTTCAGTGTGTTTGATGCGGCTGGCAGATGGAAGTATGGCTCCTACTTTGCATTCAAGCACCAGCTCAGTCCAGAATATAGATAAGTATGGAAGCAAGTAAAACCTCTTGTTAAAGGCCAAGTAGACCTAAATTCCTAAGCTGAAATGGGCTTTAATATGTTGTTGGTCCAATGGTTTTATAAATATTGTGCAATCACTCAGCCTTGTGTTATAAAACGTAAAGATACATTTAAAAAAAGCTGTACATTATCTGTAAAAATCATGTTATAAAAACATCACTCCATTTTCACCAGCCTCTTCATCAAATCCCTGATAATCTAGAACTCTAATAACCATACCTTCCTCTTGCATTGATGTCTCTGGCAATCCCGGGTTTTAGGGCATTTGGTCTCACATAAATAGGGCTTATGACACGGCATTTGCCTGGTGTGTTTTCCACAGCGACATTGCTTCTCAACCTCCTTTGGAAAAAAACAAAAAACAGATTTTTCAACTTCCACTCTGAGACTAATATCCTTCATATTTAATGTTGTGCCTTGAGCCGCTGAAAGCATCTCCCCATCAATTATTAAATGTTCTGAAAAGACTGTCAAATTCTTCAGACAAACTGAAGCTGTGTACTGCAAGAAGGTCAATGCAGCATCACTTTTTATTGGGCAATATTAGTAGGGCTGATTACACCCAACACCTTGGAGGATAACATCAAATGCAAAACTGACTCTACAATCATCTGAACACAGATTAGTAAAATAGGATTTTTGTATTCACCGTAAAATCCTTTTCTTGGAACCCACTGAGGAACATGGGGAGTCATTCACCTTTGGGTTATACTGCCGCCTACAAGAGGATGGGATACTGACAAACAAAAAAAAACCTGAAAGCCAGTCAGGGATAAACCGTTCCACTACCAGCATGCTTCAGTTTTGTAGCAAGCACAGAGACCATGGTCATAAAGTCCCTTAATGGACTACAACAAAAAGATTTTTACAATGAGTACAAAAATTCCATTCTCTTTCTTGTCCATTGAGGGACACAGGAAGTCCTTTATATTCAGGGTTACTAAAAGCAGCCCAACTGAGGGGTGGGCAAAACAGCAAATCACAGATAAAACAACAGAACTGGTGACTACCTGCAGCTCAAAGAGCAGCATGGAGGACCTTACACCGCAAAGCTGTTCCAGATGAGGGCTGAACATCAAAAAAAAGAAGATTCTTCTAGGACACAACAAAAATGCTGGTGATGGGAGGGATTATCCTGGGCTTACTATATTTTTTTATTGTTTGCCAGTGTCCAATCCTTGTGTATTCACCTTCAGTATAACCCAAAGATGAATGACTTCCTGTGTCCTTCAATGAACGAGAAAATAAGAATCTGGTACCTAACCACTTCATCTAAAATGTATTTCTTGGAGCCCATTGAGAAAGACAAATTCAATGTAAAACACCCTGCAGGACACAGGAACATGTTAATGTCCAAGGGAAGGCCACAAGGGATTAAACTGATGCTCAGACCAGGAAAGTCACTACCATGGGAAACCACTCAACCCGAAGGAACACAAAGCCCACAACAACATTACAGTGAGGACAATAATCTGATCCCCTGCAGATTTTGTACGCTTGCCCACTTACAAAGAAATGAAAAGGTCTATAATTTGTTATTAAAACGTTAGGGACAAGATTGTAGACCTGCACAAGGCTGGAATGGGCTACAAGACTATCGGCAAGAAACTTGGTGAGTATGTTTACAACATCCACAATCATGAATGAACAGGAGGTGATGTAGATCACTTCTCATTCATTCATAATTGACAAAGTAAACATACTCTGTCCTCAATTATTTACAAACACTCAGCGATCACTGATCGCTAAATGCTTGTAACGCTCTCCTTCCTGGATCGGTTGTCACAGGAGGCTGAGTGAGCAGTGTGGGGTTGTAGAACTTGATCTGACAGCCAATTCCTCCCTCGCAACGCCGGACGGCTTCCTGTGACAGCATTGTGAACTGTCACCGCCCACACACCGCTCTCCTGATCTGTCACAGGAGGCTGAGCGGTGCAGGGAGGAGAGACGCCAGCCGCTCACAGCGCTCTCCCGGCCTTCCGTGACAGTTTCTCTCCTCCCCGCTGAGACAGAGCAGCGCCCAGCGGGGAGGAGAGAAAGCACTATTTTGGCAAAAAAAATGGCAATTTCGGCAATTGCCAAAAGTGCCATTTTCGTCCGATATGTTTCAGCGGCCGAAATATCGGTGCATCCCTATTTACCACCACTTAAAATTCATGACATTAAAATAGGATGTTCCATATTAGGTGCCGAATATTAGAACCTGCTTAGGGAGTATGCAGGTGAAATGTGTCTTATATAAACCTTAGATATCTGGGGTCTGCTGTTCTCATTGCTATTGATGTACGTGGGGTCATCATGCCAATATCAACAAAGGCCCTCATCTAAGCCCCCCAGAAATAAAGTTTGGAGTCTCAGAAGTCTGACAGGGAATTAAAAGATCTTGAAATGACTTAAAACGTTTGTCACTAAATTTTGGGGTTTAATAAGGAGTTGCGCTAATATTGCGCAACATAAAAATTTTCAACTACCACCATTTTATTCTATAGGGTCTTGGCATTCAGAAAATATATAATGTTGGGGGGTTTTACGTCATTTTCAGGCCTAAAATGTGGAATATAACATGGGTGCAAAAATTGAAAAAAGGGCCTCAGTCATGAAGGGGTTAAAGAAAATAATCTACAAGTTGCGCAGATTTCAAATGACTGCTACGTTGTGCAGGTCTGGCCAGGCCAGCAAATTCAGATAAGAAGCTGACTGCTTGATGCTAAAAGAAGTCTCAAAGAACCCCAAAATTTTATTGTGGGGTGTTCAGGTAAAACTTCCGACAGCTGGGGTCAAAGTACATGTGACTACAATTAGAAAGAGATTGTACAAATTTAACCTGAATGAGAGGTGGGTTGAGAAAGAGCCTTTCCTGTCAAAAAGAACATAAGAGCGAGACTACAGTTTGTCATTGAAGATATAGGCAAAGACCAGGCCTTCTGGAGCAATGTGATGTGGACTGGTAAATCAAAGATAGTTATTTTGTAATTTGAGATTCTACAGGGAAATATTGGAATGAGCAGTTGATGCGAGGAAACTCACAAACATCTTGCAAACAAAGTAATTTTGTATGGTGTTGATATCAGAGACTGCTGGAAAGCTATACAAAATGCCTACATGAAGTCATTTATGCTAAAGTGGATGGAGGAATCCCCCAAATGGCTGCTGTCTTCTGACAGAGACAAGTGTGCTGTCATCAGAATACCTGAACAGTGACTGCAGCTGACTAGTGACTGCCAAGAATTTTCCAGCCAACTCTTTCAACAAAAATTGATTGGAAAAAGTGCCACACACTGCTCGAATTTCGGTTAAGTAAGCAGGACTTGGCCAAAATTTGAGCAATATATGGGCAGCTTTAGACTGTGCGAAAATGGAAAAATAAAGTGCCCAGATAAACTGGAAACAGTAGTCTGCAATCCGTACATAGTAGTTTATATACATTAGGTATTTAGTGGAATCCTATCTGTTGTTTGCACTGTGGAGTGCACGAGAACAAAACAAATGTCGCCATATACAGAACCGAGAGCCTGGATAAATGTTATATAGCTTGGCACCTTCTCATGACGCATGACCTTTAGGTGATTACTGACCTGCCTGCATGTTTCACATGGACCTCTGTGACAGCGCTGGGAGCATTCGTGTATTCCACACTCCAAAACCTTATCACAGTTATCACCGCAAGTGGGCACATCTTCTGTACAAGGCAAGGTGTACTCTGCGCAAAGAAAGCAAATGCGATTTATAAGAACACCACTGACATTTCCATTATTATATTGGTTTTGTGAAAAAGCAGATGCTGCAGGCACTGTACTTCATGTCTTCTCTACATCAACTTATTATTCTGGCTCATAAAAGCTTATTTAATAGGAGAAATGATAAGATGCTAAGTGCAGTACACTGAAGCAATCGGATTTTACCACCCATCAGGTTCATTAATATCTGACATTACCAATAAAAGAATGGCATGGCACAATACACAAACTGTGATATGAAACATGACATAAAGGATACTATATTCTAAACGAGTCATACTTGTTTTTTCACATGGGCACAAACGATTCCCTGAACGAGGACACTGGCCACATGGACCGGCATGGCAGACCTGCTCACAGGTGTGATTCCCACAAGGTAAAGTTCGTCCACAAACCTACAAAAAAATGCAGAAATATTTTTTTGAACTTTGTTTTCCTACAAAACATATCCTAAAGCACAACTGTAGCTGAACGAGCAATTGTGAGATACATACATGCAAAAAGTGTTACCTGCCAACATATTTTAACTGTTTTCAGTCACTATTGTGATTCACACCCCCCACCCCCTCTTCCTGCTCCAGGACATAGTCAGGCAGGTGGCATCCCTATTTCTATATAGTAGCTCCGCAACGTAACACAATGCAATAAAGCTACATAGACACAAAGTTCATACGCGTCCACTGTCAGCCTGATATGATGTGGAATTCAGTCATTGCCACTTATCTTCTGGTGGAATATGTTTGTTAGCGCTCTATACAGGGGAGTGCTGAATACATACATATTAATACCCCACTACAACAGTATTTGTTTTGGTAAAGCTGGTTACAATTTGCTTGGACATTTAATAGGGATGCACCCAAATGGAAATTTTAGACCGAAACTGAAACCGGCGCAAATAAAAAAAATTGTCATGCTGAAACCGAAAATCACGTGGTTTTTTTCCCCAAACTTCTTAAAACTTTTTATTTATGTTTATTTTTTTGTATTTATTTATTTTTCTTTTTACTTTATTGATGGGGGCTTCAGTGAAATATCAGGATCTAAACAGACCCCTGATATTTACCTTTTAATTTTTTTTCATTTCACTTATTTTTTATTCTGCTCAATACCTCGGAGGTACCGAGCACAATAGCCGAGGTATAGGGGCTAACGGCAGCGGGTAAGCTGCCAGAGCTTCGGCTCAGCCGATCCAGATGTTGGATCGGCTCAGTTGAACTCCTTCTGCACTTTGGCTCAGCCGAGCATGTTCGGCTGACCGAAGGCAGTCAATGTACAGCTGATTTTAACCGATGTACAGCCGTACAAGCCTGAAGTGAATAGCCGAACAGCGTTCAGCTCACTTCACTTCAGCTCAGTTACTCACTCGGCTGCCTTCGGCAGCTAAGTAAAAAAAAACCCGCTCTCCCTCCTGACTCATCCGCTCTCCATCCTGACTCACTGTCTTGTGACAGCGGACTCCTCCCCCGCACTGTTCTGCTTGGCATCCCCGTTGGACGCCGCTCTGTGTCCCCTCAGATTCCCTCTGCCGACATAGGCACGGGAGAGCAGCGGGCATCGGATTGGACACAGTCTGGCACCCAGGGGGGAGGAGAGAAACCTCGAGATGCACTGAATTTTTGGCTGCAATTTCAGCTGTTATGGATGCTTTCGGCATTTTGCCCGAAATGTTGCGACAGACAAAATTTGGTGCATGCCTAACATTTAATTGGGACAATTTTGTCAGGGAAGGATAGTACACCAGAAATAAACAGTAGCACAGGGTACAAGATAACCTAAAAGACATTCTTATGTTACCATCCAAGAGAACATGTTTCCAGACACAGAAACCATAACTAGTTAGCAATAGCTATGAGGCTTACAATGAGGCCAAAAATGTACCCTTATTATAGTCAGGTTCAATTGATTTTATTCAAATTGTGGCAATATAAAGATATCATTTTAATGAAGTTATATAAATTTATTTTAAATCAAATCATTACTTGACTAAAGGGTGCTTCTCAAAATTTGGTATATTATATTTGTATAGTTTCACAGTAAATAACTCACCACATCACATTGCCAGGTTGGACTTGCACACAGTCGTTCAGCTACCTTTCTTCCACAAAGGCATTTTTGCTTGCTGACCCTGGGACATGGCAGGCAGTCTCCTTTAATAAGCAATTGCACAAATAAAATCAGAAAATTGTTCATATCTTTTATGACCTTGTGGTTTTGTACTTTCTCAATTCCACTAAATTAACTATATGTGCAAAATAAGTATCAATCATTGGCCACTAAAAAGAAGCCTCTAAAAAAGAGAGATTCTTTAAAATAATACAAACTGTAGATACTATTTGCTTAATGCTGTTTACTGACACACAAACGTATAAATTCATGCATTACGATAAACATGGGATCATGATATACCTTTATGGCAGGGATTTTCACACTTGTGTTGCCTACACATCAGCATCCTCCCACACGTCTGCTGGCAGGACCAGTCTTTGGCGCTGCACCTTCGGGGAATAGGCTTTGCCTTCTTGCAAAAACAAGTGATGGTGACCATCTTTGGACATGGTGGACAAGGTCCTAAATCAATGTAGATAAAAAAATGTTACTGGTGAGATTTCAGTTTCTAGGAATAAAGCAAACTGAAAGTACTGTAAGCCAGTTTTATGTGGACAAATGTGTTTTAGGTTAGTAAAAGTGGAACGCAAGCCGAGCTGCTGAAGCTACAGTCAAACTGCATCAGTCTGCTCATTGACTGTGAATGCAGAGGCGGTGCTTCCTGTGCTCTTTGCTCCAGTAAGCTGCCTCAACACCTCAAAACAGGAGGAGGAGCCTGTGAAAGCAGTGATGGAGAAATAAGAGCGCAACTCCAATAGTATGAATGGTGTTGAGACAGCCTGTCTCTCTAAAAATCAAAATTTGAACAAATGGGGAACTTACTTGTAGGCCCCGGGGTCCGGACGTGGGGCGGCCCCCGATTGGAGGATCTGGCGGTTCTAGGAGTGGTGTGTAGTGCTGTAAGTTTGTGGTGGCCACCAGATGTGATTCTGGTAGGGAGAGAGGGGAGGAGTAAGGACGGAGCGGGACGGGTCCTTTGGTCTGGACGTGGCTGCTGCAAGCTGTAGTGTCAGGCGTGCTGGCGAGGCTGGGGTCAGATTGGAGCCGTGGATGAATCCGGACCGAGGGGCTTTGTGTACCAGAGGACTGGTGGTGGGGTTGAGGGGGTAGTTAGGCGCTTGTAGAAGGCTGTATGATTAGTGTGCCTCCAATCTATGCAGCGGTTGTATCGGAGGTGATGGAGTTGGAGCGGCAAGCAGCCAGGAAAGGACGTGCACAGGACAGTGTTCAATTTGAAGTTGTAGATGATGGAGGAGCGACGCGTTTCGAGGAGGTCCTCTTCCTCAAGCTCGGACGGAGAAGTGGGTTCTCAAGCTCAAACGGACCCCGGGGCCTACAAGTAAGTTCCCCATTTGTTAAAATTTTGATAGAGACGGGCTGTCTCAACACCATTCATACTATTGGAGTTGCGCTCTTATTTCTCCATCACTGCCTCAACACCTCACCTTTCAGCTTCAAATACCTTAAGCAGGTAAGTATGAAGCACTAGAGAAGCAAAAGGAGCGCCTCCATAGTGTAAAAACAACTTTATTGGATTATAAATACATCTAAAATGTACTCACAAACAGCCAATGATAACAGGCTTGTAGCGATTAGATCTTTTTTACACTATGATAGTGCTCGTTTTGCCTCTCTTCTGCTACCCAATTTTCCGTGACTGTGAGAAACTGCCCCACGTCTTTGGAGTTCTCCCCCTTTCCACAAGGACGGTTTTAGTTGGCGCCCGTGGTTGTTATCTTTTTTTTTAGGTATAAAGCACTGTAAAATGCTCAAAGTGCTGTAAGTATCACCCCATTTCTGGTGTGCAGGGGATTATAAGAATGTAAGAAAAGTATACATTTCATGTATATTATACTAAAAGAAGTATAACTTAGTTTTAATACTTATTGAAAAAAACATTGTTAATGCTTAAAGAAGAACTGAACTCTGGATGTTGTGTCCAAAAAAAGGCAGGCAGGGGACAAAGGACTTGCCACCAGTAATATCTGTGATCTTGTTGCAGCTGATCTTTTACCTATTACTGGCTTTCTACGGCTGGTTATGCATTGAGTCTCTGTGTGGAGGTGGTCATGTTGGTAGAGGCGTCCATTTTGGTAGAGGCAGAGTTTTTCTTCATGACAGAGCCTCCAGCAAGGAGAACGGTGAGCAGCACAGTAGTGGCCTCACCAACTCTCACTCCAAATCTCCTGAGACTAGCAGTCAGAGGCAGTAGGGCTACAGATTCACACTGCAGATATACAGCTATGAAGGTGCAGGCAAAATGTAGTTTTAGAACACTGCCTAGGTGCAATTTACATCTCTAGATGTTCTCTATAGCATAGCAAGTTCGGGCGGTTAGGGTCTGGAACTCACTGCCGCAGAAAGTGATTTCAGCTGTGAGTATTGAATCTTTCAAAAAACACTTGGACGATTTCTTCAGAGACCGTAACATTCTGGGGTACAGGTTCTGTTAAGAACAAGAACACGCGGGGACTCATATACAAGCATACACATCCAGAGTAACATGCATAGACGCAATGGGTTGAACTTGATGGACCTGTGTCTTTATTCAACCTCAAATACTATGTAACTATGTAAATTGCTATGCAGTTCATTGATTACCTGGATGGCACAAGAGCAAGCATTTGTGACCACAAGATGGCTTAAATTCTCTTTCACAAACTTGGCCGCAAGAATGAGGTACAAGCCACGGGTCCAGTGGTGGGTCTTCTACTTTACCACAGTAACAGTAATATCTTGCAGGAGTCTTGGATCGCTTGTATTCAAATCGACACTTTGGGCTGAAAGGTAAACACAAGCAGTATTACAATGGCAGACAAAAAAAAAAAAAAATCACGTTTTAACTATTGTGCATTACACAATGTGTGTGGTTCTGACCCCCACACCGTTTTGTCACTCGTTTTTTCTTATGATGTAGGAAATAACGGAAATTACTGGACCATGTTGGTCTATGGGGAACTTCATGTAAATGGACTTGAGTCCGTTTACATCAGATTACTCACGATCTGGCACGATCAGAGGGGAACTCTGATCCATTTGGTTTTTTTTGTTGACCTGGCTGGAGTGGGGGTACCCAAATGAAAACAGACGCACGCCCTCTAGATCCGGCTTCCAATCAGGTCCACCTGAAAAACTGACAGGCTCACCGTGTGAAAGGAGCCCTAGAGTCAAAAGTGTGACCAGTTATCTATTGCACCCAAGATGCATTCAGCAGAGAGAAATGACTGTCTTGTTCACCAGTTTAACTACTAATGAATAAATATTAGGGCTGTGCAAATTAACAATAAATTTCTCGATTAATCGTTAATTTTTTTGATCGATTATAAATTTTTTTAAACTTTCTGCACGAGCGCCAGCCAAGGCATTGGCCTATACACATACCGCACAGCAATGAAGTAATAAAATGAACTAAGATCACACTAATCCAGCACGTTATTATTCAAGCGGCGGCCATATTGAGTGGGGCACGTGAGATTAATAACGTGCTGCATTAGTGTGATCCTAGTTCATTTTATTACTTCATTGCTGTGCTGTATGTGTATAGGCCAATGTAGTTGGATCTGTATGTGCGTTATAATTAATCGATTAATCGATTTAAAAAAAATATTTGATTAATCGAACATAAAAATTTTAATCATTACCAGCCCTAATTAATATATGTATCTATTTTTAGGTTTAATAAAACAGTCTACTGTAAAGTGTTCTCTGCAAATCAATGACTGGCAATTCTTTGCTGCCCATGCTGTCTACTTGATAAGGTGTGAGCTTTTTGTTCTTAAATTAAAACCAGTGAAGTCACTGAGGTTACTGCTTTACAGTTCTGGTCTCCAAGTTAGGAAGTCACCATTCCATACAACTATTGATGACGTAAGCAGATGCAGATAAATTGATTTTGTTACTCTACTGTCCTGTTTTTGGGGACTTCGACCTTGATCACTTCCAAGTAGTGGTGCAGCACAAAGATGAGCGCAGTACTTTGAGAGCCTCTGACTTGGAATGAGCTAGCTACCAGGAATCTAGCATTTTCATAAAGAGACCCTGAGGGGCGGGCTTGAGATGACTGCAAACAGGCAGTGTGGCAGTTGTCGAACAAGCAGGCCACTAACCCGCCGAGAATCGTACGATTCCCGGCGGGTTTTCCAGCATGCTTGTTCGACAGAAGACGTGCGACCGTACAGTAGAAACGGTCACACGCCTTCCATACACTGCACGATTCTCGTACGATCGCGGGATTTCGTACAAGAATCGTGCAGTGTATGGGCAGCTTTATAGTGGTGGTCACACTTGCTGATGATCAATTAATCAAGGGCGTTTGATTAGCAGCACCTAGCTGCTACTTAGCCTCTTAATTCCTATGGAGGCAGTATGGGTGTACTTTAAGTTTTTCACACACGGCTTCTCCATTTATTTATGTTTGTAGAATAAAAAATGACATGTGTACTATGTCATGCGTTGTTATTCATCTGAGATTGTATTTACCCAATGATTTTTATTATGTCCTGATTAATATAAAAATAAAGAAGCAAAAAAATAAATAAAAAAGAAAAAAAAAATTTAAGTCCCCGCCCCCCACATACACATGTAGATATGTATCAGTTTTATTTTTTATTCACTGAGCTGCTTGTGGATGACAGTGAAAACTGTAAATCAATATATATCTCAGACAGTTCATCCATACATAAAACAAAATAATCTGACTCTTCCATAGTTCATCCAATTACAATCACCTGATTTCTGTGTTTTTACATACCACGGCCAAGGGTAATCTTTCTTTTCAAAGTCATCATCTGTGAGCGGTGAAGAAACAAGGAATATGCTGTCCTTGGCCCATTTCTGGATGCACGGCATGTGAAATATGCAATAACAGGCACAGCAGCTCCAGACCTACAAGTGAGCCATTCATAATTAGAACTCCTGATCTCACATGGGCACACCGATCAGGAAAATACATAAGTACAGGATGACAGACCAAAAATAAATAGAAACATACAAACAAGACAAAAATCTGTCATTTGTGAGGTTCTGGATTATTTATAATGCAGAAGTAAATGGTGTAAATTATTCAAACATACAGCATGTGCAGCGTGAGACTAAAATCAAACATAAAAAAAGTTACCCATTTAAGTAATGTCCACGTCCTTTTATTTGCACTAGATTTATCAGGACAAAATACCCCATCCTCTGGGTCCAAGCATTACTGACACACAAAAGTTTTGAAAGAAATTAAGGAAAAAATCTGCAAAGATAATCTCTGCAGAGAAAACACACACAGGGAAATAAAAGTGAGGAAAATATGCTGGCCATAGACAGCCTGAATTTCACATGATTCCTTCTGAATCAGCCAAAATTCAAGCTGTGATTGGCCCAGCAAGCACCAGTTGGCAGTAGAGATTCTTTCATCCACGCTGGCGAAATCTACGGCTAGCTTTAGTCAGAGTAGAGAAATAGGGCATGGAATGGGTGGTGGAGGGAGGGCATGGAATG